TCACCTGATTCATCAGAATCACCTGATTAAGCCCCACAACCGAAATTATTCAAAATTCACTGCGACTTTATTCTCACTTTATTGAACTCTCACTTCCACCACCAAATTGTATGGGAAAAGTGAGGTAAAACTGAGCTCAATGTGAGCGGAAAATGAAAAAGAAAATTTTTTGAAATATTTTTTATTTTGGACTAGCTTACCTTCCTATTTAGGAAATACCTAACTACTTCCTAATTAAGAAATACCTAACTACTTCCTATTTAGGAAATATCTGATCGCAAGAATCATATGATAATTAGAAAACTAACTATTATCTATTTCCTAATTTGGAAATTAAAAGTTTATTCTTTTATATTTGCAATGTTTGATTTATTTCAAATGTCTATAAATATGCAGTTGATCTCCTGCATATCTTCATTCTTTTTAACAAGTTGATTTTACTGTTTCAATTTGACAAGTTGATTTCATCTATTCAATTTACTTATTGATTCATTCATTCATTAATCAATTTCACCCTTTCTTATCAATTCAATTAAAGTCGAATAATCGAAACCTTTGAGCTATCATTCTATAAGGTATTGCTCTAGGATCAGGTGACTACCACCTTCCTATTCGATCCTAGCCTACCTTCGACGTCTGACAGTTATGAGCCCGGGTTAGCATTTCATCTGACAGATACCTGAATTTCTTGCTTTAGTGGCTGAAAGTATATTAATATAGAAATTTGGGACATAGGCGCAATGATATAATTTGAATGTTATATTATCTTTATAGGGGTTTGAAGGTTTTAAAATGACTATTCCGAAACTTTTAATTAATGTTCGAGTATTCCCTATAAAAATTGACGTAGGTGATTAATAATAATCATTAAATAATAATAAATTATTGCAGATATAGGTATCTGCTGCAGTATTAAATGCCTAATTAGGACTAGTGTTTCGAGCTATTTCTAATGAAGTTGAAGCCATAGTAATTAAATTAATTAAATTAATTAATTTATTATTCACTGCTTGATTCTGTGATTTCAAGCGTTTTTTTGTTGCTTCAAGGGCACCTAGGAATCTAGGACTTTTAGAGGCTTTATTAAATTGTTTGATTATCTCTGGATCACGTGACCAATTTAGTGGTTTTTTCAATAAATTATTAATATAAAAACATTGGTTAAAATTATGATTTCCTTCATTTGGGTCGGATTCGCATGGGTAATGGTGTTTTTTTGATTTAGGGTTGAATTTAGGGCTTGGGGTATTTTCTAAAACATTTGGGGTATCTTCTAAGACCTCTCCTTTAAAGGTTGCTGAAGCGATTCGGCTCGGCTGATTTACTTGCTTAATTGCGGGGAATATTTTCATGTGATCTTGAAATTACTTAGTTATATTAAAAAATATTAGAATTTACTCATATAATTTAATTTTATTGTTTAATTTTTTTAATCTAATAATTTGCAAATGTTAAATAAGAACCATTGATTAATTTAATAAAATTATATTAAACTTGGTGGGGGTCTATCACCTTGCTTATTTCTAGCAATTTCGCTTCGGTGAATATATTTTCCCATAGGGAAATATAAGATTTAATTGAATATTTATTTTACAGGGATTTAATTATATGATATTGCTTAATTATATCCCTTTTTCTTGATTTGTTAGTGGGTGCTAATTTCGTTTGAAGGATTCGCAGCACGTGATATAGGGTTTTTAGGTTAGATATTAAAATCTTATTTACTGAAGATATCGAATTTTTAATTAAAATTAGAAGTAGGGCTAAACCCTCATCTAATTGACGGTATTCTCGAAGCGCTAATTTATAATCGCGTAATAGGTCTCGATAAAGCGCTTAATCATTTTAGGTTAGATTAATAATTGATCTAGCATTTTCGCTTAGGTCATATGGCTCCGGGTGAGCGGGGCGGACCGGTTGTTCAGGTAGGGTCGCATGGCTTAGATTAATGAATTCCTATATATGTTTGCTTTTAGTAATGGTTTTGATCGTATTAAACCAATAGATCCATTCGTGGGATTGATTTTATTGAAAATTAAGCTTTGTCTCCGCCATATTAGGATAGCTTAAATCGATAAAGTAATTAAATCGATAAAGTAGTTGAATTAATAAAATAATTGAATCAATAAAGTGATAAAGTAATTTAATTAAATGAATTAATTTTGACATCTTAGTAAAGTAATTAAGTTAATAGAGTAATAAAGTAATTTAAATAAATGAAATAAAGTAATTGAATAAATTAACTTTGATATTCCTAGTATATATTGATATATCACTAGGATAGTGATTAATTCACATAAGATCTGAACAGAATGGTGAATTAATAAATTAATAATTAAGGATAAAAATAATAGAAATAATAAGAGAATCCGGGCTTATAACTGTTAGATATCGAAGGTAGGCTAGGATTAAATAGGAAGATAGTAGTCACCTGATCCTAGAGCAGTATTTTATAAAATAATAGTTCAAAGGTTTCTATTATTCGACTTTAATTGAATTGATAAGAAAGGGTGAAATTAATTAATGAATGAATAAATTAATAAGTAAATTAAATAAATGTGATTAACTTGTTAAATTGAAACAGTAAAATCAACTTGTCAGAAAGAATAAAAATATGCAGGGGATTATCTGTATATTTATAGATATTTAAAATAAATTAAATATTATAAACATAAAAGAATAAACTTTTAATTTCCAAATTAGGAAATAGATAATAACTGGTTTTCTAATTATTATATAATTCTTGCGATCAGATATTTCCTAAATAAGAAACAGTTAGGTATTCCTTAATTAGGAAGTAGTCAGGTATTTCCTAATTTAGGTGTTTCCTAATTAGGAAGTAGTCAGGTGTTTTCCTAAATAGGAAGGTAAGCTGGTTTAAAATAGGAAATTCTTTAGAAATCTGATCTTTTCAATTTTCGCTCACTTTGAGCTCAGTTTGACCTCACTTTTCCCATACAATTTGGTGGTGGAAGTGAGAGTTCAATAAAGTGAAAGTAAAGTCATAGTAAATTTCGATTGTGGGAGTAAATCAGGTGATTCCGGTGAATCATGTGATATTAGGTGACCCCATTTGATAGATATTATATTAAATGCCTAAGGATAGCTACTTTATTAAAAGGGATATATTTATTACTGGTATTTATTTTAGTATAAAATATAAAATAATTAGACTGCTGGAGGTCTGTAGGGTTATTAAGATATTTAGAAACTAATTCCCGCGAAACCTTTTATTAAAAAAAACCACCCACTTAACCCTTAGAAGGTCAAGTAATTAATTTTATTTATTCTATATCTGTCCCTTAACTCCTTATATCTTTTAGCACATAGCAGGTAGTCCGCAGGCATATTACAGGCGTCCCGGACTCCTCAGTACATCCATCTAAGAGAACCAAGTGCCCGGAACAGAACCTTCGTGGCTGCCCCTTACAGAAAGTAATATTTTCTAGTTATACAGCTAGTAGTAATAAAAATAAAGAGATTTTAAAGCCAGTAAAAACCTATTTTATTTATAATCTATCTATTAGGACTAACTTCAATCTTACTATCACATAAGAGCTTAATATTTTAATATTAATCCTCTATATAGACCTTTCCTTTAAAAATCATATATAGAGGAAGCGCCCAGCCAGTAGAGTTAATATACTTAATTAAAATAATCTATTCGTGATTACCTGGCTGTATAAGTAATACCTTTCCGTAGTAATCAGCTTTAGTAACTATTTAAGTAGTAGCTACTAGGCCTATAGCAAAGCTAGTTTTATTAAAATTATAAATATTTTCTTGTACGATCCTATATTATATTATTATGATTTATACACAGTTAAACTACTTTTATATAATCTTAGGAACTTCACATTTAGTATGTTAATAATTATAGTATTAAGTATAGCAAGTTTTTAAGCAATCTTGTTAATTAATAAAGTTATATACCTATTTTTCTTTAACTAATTAAACTAGGGTAGTATTACATATAGCAAAAAAAATATTAGCCATTTCTTGTATATAAAATAGTCAAGGAGGCGCTCCACGTCAATCTAGTAATAAAATCTATTATATAAGTAATTCCTCTTCATTTTGAGTCATTTTATGAAAATTAGCGCGTGATTTATTGCGAAATATCTTTTTATATAATTAGTCTTAAAAGGTTAAGCGAGATATATTATAAATATATACTATTTCATAAATATTCGATATTTCTTCTTTTTTTAAAGCAGATATAATAAACAGAATCCTGCCCTCCTGTTCAATTAATTTTCTCGAATTTTAACATACTTTTGGAGGTATGGTTGGTGGTTAAATTGAGCAAGGTTTTCGACCGCGGCCAAAACGCGTGAGGTGGCCGACTCGCTTACGTGGCCGACTCGCTTACCGGATACGTTAACTAACTTGTTTGTTGAAATGCGAGTTGACTAAGCAATGTAGAAACAGAGCAGGTGAGAATAAGAATACAAAAGAAAAAGAGAGGTAACTAACTATCATCAACTACAATCATGTGGGCATGTCAGGACCAGTTCAAGCATAGTTCAAGCATCCACCCTATTACCCAGCATGGAGTGAACACAGTGAGCCTTGATGCTTGCTGTCCCCAATCATTCAACTTCATCTACTGGATTATAGACAGTCATCTGTTTGAATCAATAACTACTCCGAAGTTCATATCGCGAGCGGGCTGTTCAGGAAGAAGATATTCCCCCATAGAGGCACGGTCCCGCTGGACCGGATCCTTATTTGCAACAGAAAAGTCAGAATTCATACACTTACCACTGTCCAAGAAGCAAACATGGAATAGAGCAGATTACCACAAATAGGAAGATTATCAAGTCACCTGACACAGCAAAGCTTGAATGGAGCAACGCAACTGAGCGAGTTACTTAGACCGCTACAGGGGCAACACAAACGTCGCAGTCCAGTCAGAATATTTCTGTGCGGTCGACTACCCATGCTTAGTTATAAACGCATTATATATATCTTATATATATGACATGGCATGGCATGACTTAACCCAGCCCCAGATTCAATCTGGTAAAATCCAATATCAAAGAGTCCATGTCATCTTGCATCCCTTCCAGCTCATCGAGAATCAGTTGAGCCCAGTCCGTCTGGCCCACCAGTGGCTGCCAGAGATCCCACAACTGACTAATTCGCCGCGTCACCCAGACCTCCATGTTCTCAATGTCCGGAATCACTACGCGCAGCATGTACTCCTGGTACAGCTGGCGCGGGTAAATCGACACATTGTCCACTCGCTGCACCCGGTTCTGATAGTCATCATAGATCGCCACCACAGTATTCACAACAGTCGCCCAGTTGGCATTGACCTGGTCCTCGTTCAGATAGCTGATCACCTGCATTGTCGTTCGGATCGCCGTAATCGCGCCCGTGGTACGTCCCTCGTCTGCGAGGTCGAACCCGTTTTCATTCCACGTCGCATCGCCCATGGGCTGATGTCCCACCCACACGCGGGCCTTGTACCCATTCAGTACACTGTCCGCGTTCACCAGCACATTCGGGTTCGTATCGGACCCATACGCGTTCGTGATCATGTCGATCGGCCGCCCGGTGACGGGGATCTGTGTCTGGCCGACGGTGATGGTCGACGGGCCGTTGGGGTCCCAGGTTGCATAATCCGTGAACAGGTAACTGTTCGTATCGAGATAGGATCTGGGAACTCTCGGGTGGGAGCTTCTCACTAGTGTCGAGTCTCCCCTTCTTGCCTGTCCGTTCATCATGAATTCTTGCGCCCGTGGCTCCGTCTGCCGTTCCTGAATGTGCTCGCTCACTGCCCGCGAGTTCGGATCGTCGCTTGTCGAACTCACCCCGATGTCCCCGCAATCCCCGCAGCTCGCTGCCCCATACAGGTCCGTTGTGCCTCCTCGGGCTTGGTTCAAGCTCGCCCCGTTCTGCCCGTTCGGGTACCGGCCCATGGTGATGTCCCAACCGTTGCCGCCGGAGGGATTCACGCCATAGTTGACCGGTGCCCCATAGTTGATGGCACGACCCTGGAGATCGATCTTGACCATCAGGTCATCCTCCGTATAGGGCTTTCCAGTCTCCGGATCCAAGTCCAGGGTCGGGTCATAGTCTCGCAGCTGGGGCGTGGACATGTGCATGTGCATATCATGAACTCGTCGATTTCCTGGGCGCCGTCGTCGTCGCCGTTTGGTAACGGAATCATACGCACCTCCAGTCTCCGGATCAAGATCCAGCGTGCGATCGAACTGGTCCATTTCGCTCATGCAGTAACAGTCATCCAGACCGGACCCGCTCCCCCCACTGTTACTGCAGTCCATGAGATCGTGGCCCCCAAAGAGCGCATACCCATTGATATCCGGTGCGTCGCGCGAATCAGGCGTCTTCGCGCCCTCGTGGAGAATGAGTGCCTTACCGTGACCGATGATGCTTTGAACCGGGTCGTCGTCCCAGGGAAGCTCACCGACGGTATAGGACTCCATCGTTCCCTGCGAATTACTGAAGACGATCTGCGGGGAGCCGTCGCTCGTCTTCTTGATACGTAGGTAGCTGTCCAGGGACTGGTTGAACTGCACGCCGGCGGCGACCTGCTTGGACTCGAAGAAGTTGAGGTTTAGTTTCATTTGGGAGGTGGTGAGAAAGCGCAGGGCGAGGATTGTCCCATCACTACTCTGTCTCTTCTTCGGAGATGATGACGAGGCAGAGGAAGAGGAAGACGGCAATGTGAGGGCTCCCGAGAACGAGTTCGAGAGTAACTTATTGCTCACACTCCCTGAATGACTGCCCGTCGACGTTGGCAGACTATCCGAGACAGCCCCGTCATTACCGATGATGAAGTTTGCCGTAAAGTCGCCGTTAATCTCACCTTTTCCCGTCATCTGGACTTCAACGTTGACCCAGGGCCCGAAGTCGCAGATCCCCGGGTGCGAAAACCCCCAGGCGCTCACAGGGCTGCTGAACATGTTCTCACCGGACATGCCCGCGGGAACCGATAAGTAGCCCTTGCCGTTGAAGTTCAGGGCCCCGTGAGGGTCAGACTGGTGTCGTAGTATCCGTATGCCTCCTCAATGCTGAAGCTGGGCGAGATGGTGCCGACGAACGAGTATCCAAATTCCAATTCCTCGTGCAGCGTCCCCGATATGTCCATCTTCAGGAATCCGTCGGCGCTTGAGGAGGAGCAGTCGTCCTTGGTCTCGCCGCTGAGCAGGATGTCGAACTTGCTTTTCTCCAGGTATCCTTGGCCTAGACGGGTAATTGTCTTGCCTGCGTTGCGGACCTCGTCGAATTTGGCCTTCCAATCGGAGGCCGAGGAGCTGTAGAATCGCTCATGCAGGGGAGTCGCGGACCGTTTCTTCCTGGCGGGATCCCCCTGCACGATGGAGTCCCAGTATCCCATGCTATTTGAGTAGTCGATTCGGATGTAGATGTCTCCGGAATCGCGCTTGACCAGGCCAAAATCGTACGAGATCTCTGCCTCCAAGATCTCCGGGTCCCAAGAGGCCGAGCGAGCGACATGATACGGCAGGGACCGGTCTGTCGCTGGGCGAAGAGCATGCAATACCATATAGCTGCCCGGTCCACAGCCCTCTGGCATGCGGAGAATGGTCCCCTCGATGCCCCCCCGATGGAGCTTGTCGCACGTGCTGTTGAACTCTCGGGGACAGACAAGCCGGATGTGACTGCGTCCGTCAGCCCGGATGTTCCCACAATCGAGGACGTGCAGGTCTGATCCATCTCGCCGACGGAGGGACCGCACTGTATCCTCAGGTCCCACGATGATAATCATGCCAAAAGTATTTGAGTTTAGATCGGTGGAGATCACGCCGTTCGCGCCCAGGTTCTGCAGGTCGAACTGGGGATAATCATCAGCTGGTGGGAGAGTCGGGAATACCTTATCCAGCGCCACAGGCAGGAAGGGGTTGATGTTCTTCGGGCTATCGCAACAGAGCACCTTTTTGCGACTGTTCCCTACACAGCTGCCGGGGCTATCGCCGAACGTGGCCGTGTCCACCTGGACATCATTGTCATCACATTCATTATCATCACAGGTCCCTTTGCCGACCCAGTGGCAGTTCTGGAACGTCGCATCAACCGGACAGCACAGCTGCTGCACCTGGCCCCAGTAGCAGTTATCCTGCCTTTGGACAATCTTGACCATGTCCTTGGTGCTGTCCTCGGCCCCGCACTTCTTCCCACAGCTGCCATACACACACGCCTCAATCTGGCGCGCCCACGTCTCTGCTGTACAGCAGAATGCCTGGAATCCTGGCCGCAGGCAGTTCTTGGTCGCGTGCCGCGAGTGGAACAGCGTTGACTCGCCAGTATGACACTGGCCGTGGCAGGAAGGTCTCCCCACAGAGGACTCCCCACCGCGCCAGAGACACTCCGTCGGCATTGCGTCCAGCGGACAGCAGATGATCTTATACTTGGTACTGCCGCAGGTATCCTGGAACCCATCGCCGTTTGGCGCCATTGCGTAACCCGATGGGCATTTTGGGGGGTTGCCGCAGTCTGTCATAATACATTGCTGTCCGTTGATGGAGGTCCAATGGCCCGCGTCTGTGGCCTCGGCGCGTTTCAGGTTCAGGTCATAATCTTGCAGTGATGTACCAAGGAGGCCCTCAAGTGCGGTAAACTGCTTGTCATCCTGGTCGATTGACCAGATCATGAGCCCGCCGAGACCGACATCGTTGGCGTAGTCGGTCTTTTGCTTGAAGGTGTCTGCGTCGTCAAAGCTGATCCATTGATTATTACTGAAGGTAAAGTATTTGACCCCGGCGTCTTTGTCGTGAATGATTTTGGGGTCCTCTTTAGATATGATGTCTTGAATCTCGAAACTACCATTCAGTCAAATTAAACAGTTCGAAACAACATGAGATAGGGAGGGCTAAAAGGAGACTTACTATGCCAACGTCCCCGGGTTATCCGTGCAATCACCCGCCTTTGCAGACCCTTTAAAATGACATCCAGGCGATGAGCATGTCCGACTCTCCAGCTGGAAGGACCGTCCGTAGAAGCCTACCCCGAGGACGACCTTTTCCGGGGGGACGTCGTTACGCCAGAGAAGGTCCATGGCCAGTTTGATTTCCGTCAGGTTGGTATGTCCCTGGATGATATCTCCAATGGGGTTCAGCTTGTCCCACTCCCCATGAAGATCATAGGTCATCATATTAGTCCAGTCAGCATACTCCAGCATGCTAGGGACATCAAACCACCGGAGATACCAATAGGAACTGGGTATGGTAAAGGTCAGGCCGTAGGGGCCATGAGAGGACCTGTCGAATGTCTCTCGGAGCGTCTTGAGGAGGAGGACATAGTTCTGGGTGTCTTCTTCGTTGCCGCCTCGGTCACCGGCTCCGGGGTATCTGTAGGCATCAGTATATCAACATTTCATCTTTGGAAGTGGTTGTGAGTGAAGGTGAAAATGAGTGAAGGTGAAACATACTCCCAGTCCAAATCAACACCATCAAACCCATATTTCTTCATGAAATCCACGAGATTATTGGCAAACTTCTGCCGGTTACTCTCTGTCCTTGAAATGTCCCCAAACGTCGGCTGCGTCGCCGTCTCATTATCACTAAACGTCCACCCACCAAGCGCGACAAATACCTCCAGATCAGATAAACCTGTCTTGAAGGTCCTCACATCAGCCGTCTGCGTAAACAGCGAGGAAGGGGTCAGCCCATCCATAGGCACAATCTCAAACGACTTCGGATCAATATACCCAAAGGCAAAGTTCAGATGCGTCAGTCCCTGAATGGGGATCGCGGCAGGAGGGAAAGGATAGCATTCCCGGCGTGCACTCCAGGCCTCGTAGTAACCAATCACCTTGCTTGTGACCGGCTTCGAGCTTTTCCCCGGAGGCACAGCGGGACTACCGCAGTTGTTCTGGCAGCCCTGAGAGACATCGCAGAACTCGTCCGTCGTACCGCAGAACCCGAATTTGCTGCAGCAGACATTCAAGGGACACGTTCTATCGGTGGGGTCGGCGTCTGCGCCGCATTCGGGTTTGGCATCGCACTGGCTCACGCAGTCGGAGCCGCAGAATGTGTCACCGAAGCCGCAGGTGCCAATGTCGCCCCCGAAGAAAGAGCCGCCTAGAGCAGGAGATTAGCGGAGGAGCAGACCTATGGGATACGGGGGTTTGAACTCACAGCAGGCTTCTGTTTGACAGGGGATGTCCTTGGTACAAGAGTAGGGATCCAGACGGCGGTAGAGGGTATGATTGTACGACTCGGGGTCTTCAAGGGACACCGTCACGGCTTCGGTGGCGGCGGGACGCTTAAAAGAAGAAACTTGAGGGACAGGAGAATCACGGTATACATATGAAAGAAGCAAGATGGCGACAACCGCCAGGGAGGAAAAGGCAATGGGCAATTTCAACGTGTTGGACCGCCGCGAGGGCCGACCAGTGTCTGATGCCATCTCGATATGAGAGACACAGACAGTTGGAAAGAACGAATATGAGGACCTCTACCAGACAGCAGGACCTGGAGGGGGTTGAAAATAGGAGGGGGCATTGGTGCATATGAAATACTTTCTCTGCTCAATGTTACCCTGGATATCCGGCATCCAGTTAGTCGAATGATACTGCCAAATAATTCATCGCTAATTCAGGAGAATTTAGTATAATCACAATTATGAAGCAGTAGTAGCTAGACTAACAGAAACCAACAACGATCTAAGAAGGCGCCAACGCTCCATCCCTGCAAACGTCGCATAATTGAAGCTAAGCGTGAGGAGAACAGGCAGAAATCAACGCCTGCCAAGGAGAAAAGATCAGTCTAAGACCCCTTAATATACACTCCTGAAAACGATGTAACCCTGTGTCACGTAAGTGATATTTGATTTGGATTAGCCGACAAATGTTGCTTGTCTGCACAACAATTTATAGTGGCATATTTTCTCTCCCGTTCTCAAGTCTCCCTCCACCCACCACGCCAACAGGGTCAGAATTTTTCTAGCAATGGCTCTTGATAAAAAAGGCATGTACGCCTTTGCGGGTGTTTTCGTCCTCTTGTGTGCCTGGGTCGATGCGCAGGCGTTCCTCGCTGAGGAGGATGGCACGGTGTTGTCAGTCGGGGTTCCAGATACCCTCTCAACTGCGTGCCAGTAAGTCACTCCAATTGGATTTGATAGATGAAACAAAGGACCTGATTCAATATCCAACAGAACAGCACTTAATCAGACCACTCAATGCAACTCGACTCTGAGTTTTGTGGCCTTTGACGGCCTCTTCCCCTCTAGCGATGTCCTCGCAGCCATCTGCACCGACAGCTGCAAGGAGTCCCTGCAGAGCTTCCGGTCTCAGGAAGTGGAAGCATGCGGCGACGAGTACTATCATGTCGATGGAAAGCTCGTACCTGCTAGCTACAGCGTGGACCAGTTGCTGTTTACATACACGTATACATGTCTACAGGATGGGTGAGAGACTATTGAGGGCAAATACCATCTACAGCTGCTGATTCCTTTTCAGAACCACGAATGTTTACTGCGCACCACTCATCGACGAATGGTCGCAGGCCGGGCCAACCGCCGAGCAGTCCTGCTCCGAGTGCATGTTGAAGACCTTCCAGGTGGAGCTGAACTCACCATTCGGCTATGACGATGAGTTCGCCAGTTACTACAGATCTCTCACGTCGAGGTGTATATTGCAGCACCCTTGGATTCTTTACTTTGCTAACCCTGAGCAGCTGCGGTGTCTCGGACTATCCTATCACTTTACCACCTTCGTACACCGTGACGGCTACTTCGTCCACTTCTACTACCACGTCCGTGACCCCGTCCATCAGCTGCGCTTCAAAATATGCTGTCAAAAAAGGCGACGATTGTAGCAGTGTCAGCCAAGCACAACAGGTTTCTGAGGCAATGCTCCGCTACAACAATGAAATCGCGGCTGATTGCTCTAATTTCCCTGATGTGGGCACCTCGCTCTGTCTTCCTGCCACTTGCGATGTGTACACCCTACAGGCGAACCAGACCTGCTATGATATCGCTCTGGCCTATAATTCGACTTTCACTGTGACGCAGTTGATCTCGTGGAATCCAGATATCAATCGAGACTGCAGCAACCTGGAGGTAATGGTCGGGACTCATCTCTGTGTGAGGTACGCGCTCTGCGTCCTATTTTCTTCTGTGTGGCATTCCTGCTGACATTTGGAAGCGCCCCAGGTGATACAGGGGAATCCAGCGTGACGATGACACCGACGTCAACCATTGCAACACCCATGTAAGAGGCCTCTTTAACACCCCACGCCACGATCATACGATCATTCTGTATGCTTATGAATCCTACAATCAAGAGCTGCGCCAACAAATGTCGCGAATGGGACAAACACCCGTTGTGCCAAGTACTACGAAGCCGTGCCGGGGGATACCTGCAGCTCCATAACTGTGAAGATGGCCATCAGCGTGGCCGATTTCTATTTCCTAGTAAGACTTTTTGTTTCCAAATCCTTCTCGCGTAGACAGAAACGGTTAAACAGCTCTAGAACCCCGAGATCAACAGCACCAGTTGCAGCAATCTCCTGGCCGGCTCCTCCTACTGTGTCCAGGCCGTGGGCGATATTGCGACCTATTCGGGATACGGGTGCGTCCCAACCCCTCAAGCGCTGTTGAATTGACTCTATTTCTAGTTACTGACCCAATTCAATGTCCAGAGGATATAGCAACCCGTGCGTAACGTTGGTTCCTCTCCCATCCAGCTGCATAGCAACCGCAGTGACGACCACCGACTCTGGCTGGACGTTTCCCACCTACACGACCAATACCACCCAGCCGACCCCCTTACCACTGGCTGCGGGGACCTGGTCCAACTGCTCGACTTACACGCAGTACATTGCGCCGGTGCGGAATGCCTCGACGATCAACTCTTGCTACGTCGTGGCTAGCATGTATGATGGTGAATAGATGAAATAAAATTCCTTTATTAGAGGTGACTAGGCTAATTGACCTATTCATGCTACAGTGGACGTGACAGACTTTGTCTCCTCGAATCCCTCCCTCTCTTATGACCAGGACGCGGATGATCCCAACGACTGCCAACTCAAACCGGGGTATCAGTACTGTCTCCAGTTGTCTAAACCCACGACCACACCCACCACAACGACGACGACAACAGCAACCAGCACGACAAGTAGTGGGCAGTCCACGAGCACGGGATCAAATGGCCAGCCAACCCCGTTGCCAATTCAGGTACATACATCTTTCCTGTCGCCAATTCTATTCCCCAAGCCCAAGGACCCGAAACTGACTTGATATGCTCTGAGTAGGACGGAATGACTACCAGCTGTGGCGCTTTCTATCTCGTCAAAACCGATGACAGTTGCTACGACATCGCAGCGTCGAACAATATCGCCATAGACAAGTTATATACCTGGAATCCGGCACTAAACGGAGACTGCACCGGCTTATATCCGAATTATTACATTTGCGTAGGGTCGATCGGTAGCACAACTGCCACCACAACGACGACAACCACATCCGGGGGAGTTTCAACACCAACTCCCACCCAATCCGGAATGATAAGCGGTTGCAAATCATTCTACTTCGTTCAAAGCGGGGACAGCTGCTACGATATCGCGGCTGATAACGGGATCGCCCTGGACACGTTGTACCTTTGGAATCCAGCGCTCAATGGAGATTGTAGTGGGTTGTGGCCGGATTATTATATTTGTGTAGGGTTGTGAAAGTTCTATATATATGTACCTCTACGTACTTGATTTTTGTGGCAGAAATGGGCTTGGCAAAGAGCTGATTAATACGCCGAGTTTATAACTATGATTATATGAAACGATTAAAGGTCTTGATTATTCTAATCTACTGTAAAAAGAAGCTATATTTATGTAATTTCAGGGACTTCGAATATGCAAGAGAGGGGGCTTGATCATACTATTCAAGCTCCATAATCGTATGATCAATATTGATCGATTAGTTACTCAACCGGTAGGGTCGCAGCTCAGCCGGTGTATGAATTTAGTGTGCCGGTGTATGGCGCTAAATGGGTGGGGCTTACACCGGATGAGGTTTCCACGTGATTTAGCTCAGCCGGTGTGGCAGGGAAAAGGATGTTCCGACCGATGAGTCATCCGGGAAGCCATTTTATGGGATGCGGAAGGTGGTCTAAATGTATCTCTTAGCAACAATCTTACCAACCAATCGAGATCTTCAGAATTCATCTCAATTCTCCACTTAGAGAGGTCATTGGCCTCTGTGGAAGTCAGAGAATTTCATCACCGGTATATGAATTTTGATTTCTTACACCGGCTGAGGTATTCTTACACCGGATCAGGTTTTTACACCTCTATATTAGGGTCCTTTGGGGATTATTCAGGGTTCTTAGAGTGGTTAGGGACTAGAGTATATATATATATTTCTTTTTTAGGGTCTTTAAAGATACTTTAGGTCACGTGTTTGAGCTGATCTGGTGTAAGAAAACCTCATCCGGTGTAAGAAAGTTAGAGGTCATCCGAGTGTAAGATCACGTGGTTCAGCTGGGCCGGTGTAAGAACATCTGTCTTGGCGTTCTTACACCGGCCGAGGTTAACAAAGCGGCCGTCCTCAGACGCTTGGCATAACATCCCGTGCTTCCGCCTTAGTATTCCTGTATAGAGCGGAATTGCTTTATCTTGCTCTAAGGATTATTTTATACTTAAAATTATTTTTATAGCTTATCTGTAGCTGTTATGATTTTAGTATTTAATAAAAGGTTAATTTACCGTGTGAAAATTAAGGTAGCTAGGTATTTTATAGGTATCTGAGGCCATCTAATACCCCCTGTAGATATAAATAATATAGGTAGATTTAGTAAAATTAAATTTTCTTTTTTTTAAATTCTTATATTTATTTTTTATATTAAAAAAAGTTAATTATAAGGTTCTGTACTGCCCTAGTAATAGATTTTATATTAATTTATATAAAGATTAGTTTTTTAGCTAGTTTTTTTATTTTTTTTATTATTTAATATGTCAGATGGGGTAGGTAGGTCGCGTGGGTTGAATAGAAATTTCAAATGGCTAGATAGAATAAGGAAAATCGATCAGTCAGATGAAGTAAACAGTTCACCTGGACCACCTAGATCTGAAATAGATAGACCAGAGGTCCTACCATTCGCTATGCATGTAGATAGGTGAAATTGATTAAATAAATAAATAAAATTCAATTAAATGAATTAAGTGGGTAAATCAACTTAATGAAAAAAATAAATTAATATAGATTATTGACTGCATATTTATAAACAATTAAATTAGGGCTAATTCAATCTGGCCCTAAGCAAATATTACAAACATGAAATTATTAGATCCTTTTAGGCCTTTATCTATAAGTTATATCATTCACCTAGGCCTTTAAGATCAACCTCGTAGATTATTATTAGATTAATTTAAATAATTAAATGATTAGGATTTTATAACCAGAATAATTAGTGTCAATTGGGGTCACCTAACATCACCTGATTCATCAGAATCACCTGATTTAGCCCCACAACCGAAATTATTCAAAATTCACTACAACTTTATTCTCACTTTATTAAACTCTCACTTCCACCACTAAATTATATGGGAAAAGTAAGGTAAAACTAAATTTAAAATAAGCTAAAAATAAAAAAAACTAGATTTCTAATAAGTTTCCTAATTTGGACTAGCTTACCTTCCTATTTAGAAAATCCTTGATCACTAGAATCATATAAAACTCAGAAACCTAATATTATTGAATTTCCTATTTAGGAAATTAAAAGTTTATTTTAACCACTGCAGTTAATGTGTAAGGGGCAGCCACAAAGGTTCTGTTCCGGGCACTTGGTTCCCTTAGATGGATGTACTGAGGAGTCCGGGACGTCTGTAATACGCCTGCGGACCGCCTGCTACGCGCTAAGAGATATAAGAAGTTAAAAAATAAGTATATGTCAGATGGGGTAGGTAGGTCACGTGGGTTGAATAGAAATTTCAAATGGCTTAATAGAATAAAGGAAATCGATCAGTCAGATGAAGTAAACAGTTCACCTGGACCACCTAGATCTGATGATAGACCAGAGGTCCTACCATTCGTTATACATGTAGATAGGTGAAATTAATTAAATAAATAAATAAAATTCAATTGAATGAATTAAGTGGGTAAATCAACTTGATAAAAAGAATGAATCAATACAGGTTATTAACTACATATTTATAGACAATTAAATCAGGGCTAATTCAATCTGGCCCTAAGTAAATATTACAAACATAAAATCATCAGATCCTTCTAGGCCTTTATTTATAAGTCATATTATTAATCTAGGCCTTCAAGATCAACCTCATAAATCATTATTAGATTAATATTTAATTATTTAAATAATTAAATAATCAAGATTTCATAATTAAAATAATCAGAATAATTAAAATTCAACATATAAATTATAATAAAATTATTTAAATAATATCAGAATGACCAGAGTAACAATATTTACTTTATAGCTTATAAAATAAATAGGCGAGATATTCTGGACCCTTTATATTAATCATCTAAATAAAGCCATTAACTGCAGTGGTTAAAATAAACTTTTAATTTCCTAAATAAAAAATTTATCAACTTATATTTTCTAACTTCCATAAGATTTTAGCGACCAGTGATTTCCTAAAAAGAAAAGTAAACTAGTCCAAAATAAGAAATTCTTTAGAAATTTTTCTTTTTCATTTTCTGCTCACATTAAACTCAGTTTTACCTTACTTTTCCTATATAATTTAGTGGTGGAAGTGAGAGTTTAATAAAGTGAAAGTAAAGTTATAATAAATTTTAAATAATTTTAGTTATAGGGCTAAATCAGGTGATTCTAATAAATCAGGTGATGTCAGGTAACCTTATTTAACATACCTTTTTAGTTTTAAATCAATAAAAGTATTTAATTAAAACTGCAAATGTTAAATAATCAATTATTATTTAATAAAATATTAAATATTAACTATATTTAGTTATTCAGTAAATTTTATATATTCTTATTTAGTCAAACATTTAGTAAGACTATCTATAATTATTTGATTAGTAAGGACCCATTTTAATTTAATAGATTTCTTCTTGATTTCTTGCCTAAGCCAGTGATTACTAATATCCATATATTTTAATTTAGTTTTATAAATTAAATTAGGCTTAGTAAGCAGGTTAATCATTTGTTAATTATTATAATAAATATATAGTTTTTCTTCAAGGTTAAACCCTATAGCAATAAATAAGTATTTCTACTATAGAAAATGCTTACTAGCCGTAGTTAGGGCTAATAATTCTACTTTAGTTATAAATAGGGTGATTATTTTTTGCTTTCTAGCTGACTAGTTAATAAATCTACTAAATAAATAGTATATAAAGCCTTTAGATGATTTTTTTTGCAATAAGTCTATATAGGCTGTATCACTAGCTATTTTGAAAATTAGTAGTAATTTTAATTAATCTATTAAATTAAGACCATATTAAATTAAATTAAATCAGGTTTTATAAATAAATAAAATCAGGTGATTTGCTGCATTTATATAATTTAAATAAGGTTTAACTATATGTTCTACAAGGATTTCGCAACTTTTTATAATATCTGGCCTAGAAATGACTGCGGGATATAAAACTAAGCCAATTTTCTTTTAATAATTCATATAATAGGGCTTAGTAAGCGGTTGCCCTATAGATTCGCTTAAATTACCAAATAATAGGGGCATTTTAGGTGAATTCTGATTAGCTAATTCAAAGTAGTAAGCAACTTTTTTAATATAATCTGCTTGATTAAGCCAAATTATTCGATTTTACCGGTTTCGAATAACTTTTATATTTAGGAATTAGTAAATTTCACCTAAATCCTTTAGATTATATATTAAAAATAATTGATTTTTCAATTAGTTAATTTTCGATTAATAATTTTAATTATATAGTAAAATAATATTGTCCACATAAATCATCAAAATCATATAATTATTTGTAAATAGACAGGGATCTTCAGGCACTGATTTTAGGCCTAATTTTTTTAGAGTATTCCCTATTTCTTATTACCATAGTAATGGAGATCAGTGTAGTCTATATAAAGCTTGTTTTAGCTTAAAAACCTTATTTTGTTGACCGAATCCGGGAGGCGGTAAAATATAAATTAATTCATCTAATTCACTATTTAAAAATATATTTACTGCATTCTATTAGGCTATTTTAAGGTTAAAAGTAGTAATTAGGGCTATAATAGTCCTAAATGTTCGCGTAGCTAGAGTAATAGCCCTAAAATTAAGATTATTAATTAGTTAAAGGTCTCTATAAATATATATCCTTGCTTTAAATTTTGATAATTAACCTTAATTAGTAAATTTGTATTTCTATACTTATTTTAATAGTAGGATCTTTTAAATTAAATTATTTATTTTAGGAATAGCTTCCCAGGTGTTTATTTTAGTTAATTAATTATATTTAATTTTACATATATTTAGCTATTCATCTTAAAAGAGCGAATTTATCATTTTATTCTAATTAGTTAGCTTAATAGGCAAATCATTTCGATATAATTTATTATTACTAATTTGAGCTAATACAAAATTTCGAGATATTTTTAAAGGTCCTAGGTCAGATAATTCTGACCTATTCCTTTTTAAGGATAGTAGTTTATAAAAATTGTTATAATTATCAAAATTAAATAATAAATTATTAATAATAACTTTAGGTGATTAAGAATATAGGGTAGGAGGTTAGTCTCCTAAAATCTCATCACTTTAAGTATTTAATTTAATAATTTAATTTTTATATTCAGATTCATAATAAATAAGATTATATTTACTAGACAGTTCTGATTCA